AGACGGATCTCTTGAATTTGCACCCTTCCCTCCCATGCCCATACCCCTGTCTTCCCAGGAACCTCATCATCCACATAGATGACTAATAAAGGGTGTCCCAAAATTCACGCAAGAAGTAATTTTGATAGAAAACAAAGGTTTATAATTAAAAATTGTACAGTTTTTATTGATTCATAAGTATACAGTATAGGGTTATGTATGGAATAGCACATCGGGTCAACGGCCTCCACGGCTTTGCTGGCACATACGCAAAGCCATGCTCTTCATTGGTCTTCATTGTCCCTGCTCCTGGGCCATCATTGGTACTTGGTCATGCTTATCAAATTGAAGGGATTGAAATCAAAGGGCAACAGATATTAGAGTCTGATTCAATAAACCAAGTAAAATTAGGCTTTTATTTTGTTGTTGTTGTTGTTAATGCTCACGCAAAATTCAAATCTTGCGTGAATTTTGTGACACCCATTAGTTGCTATTAATTTCTTAAACACTTAGTAGGAGCCCAGCCTGCGTGGCTCAGTGGTTGAGAGTCGATCTATGACCCAGGAAGTCACGGTTCGATTCCCGGTCAGGGCATATGCCCGGGTTGCAGGCCCGGTCCCCAGTAGGGGGCGTGTGGGAGGCAGCCAATCAATGATGAAACATCCCATCATGGATGTTTCCATCTCTCTCTCCCTCTCCTTTCCTCTCTGCAATCAATACAAACATATTGAAAATAAATAAGTAAAAATAAAAAGCACGTGATCAGGTATAAGCAAAGCTCCTCAACGACAGGTTTCCACATCCTCCCCACCCCCTCCGACCGACCCTGGAAGGAGGAAGGAATCTAGATCTTTCTTTCCCTGGAGTGACCGGGCCAAAAGGGGGAAGCGGAAAGGAGCTAGTCACCAATCTATATGTCATCGAGTTTTGAGGGTTCGTGTTGAGGTGGGATGACTGCAAAACTCTACTTATGTAGGTGAAGGCTGCTCACACGAAAAAAGACGGGGAAAATCAAGTCTAAGGTGGTTTGGATGTGTTTTATTGTTTTAATATCCCCTCTTTTATGTCTTCTCAAGACAGAGTCAAGCCCGGCCGGCGTGGCTCAGTGGTTGAGCATCGACCTATGAACCAGGGTCAGGGCACATGCCAGGGTTGCAGGCTCGATCCCCAGTAGGGGGCATGCAGGAGGCAGCCGATCCATGATTCTCTCTCATCATTGATGTTTCTATCTCTCTCTCTCCCTGTCTCCCTTCCTCTCTGAAAAAAAAAAATACATAGTTTTTTTAAAAAAAAGAAAGATTCAAGTCATTGAAATCAATAAAAATATATTTTTTTTTAAAAAAGGAAGATTCAAGTCACTCTTCAAATAGTTTTTGCATTTGGGACTGAGGTTTCTTTGAGAGCAAGGTGTCACTATAGGACAGTGATGGCGAACCTTTTGAGCTCCGCGTGTCAGCAGTTTGAAAAACCCTAACTTAACTCTGGTGCCGTGTCACATAAAGAAATGTTTTGATCTTTGCAACCATAGTAAAACAAAGACTTATATTTTTGGTATTTATTTTATATATTTAAATGCCATTTAACAAAGAAAAATCAACCAAAAAAATGAGTTCGCGTCTCACCTCTGACACGCGTGTCATAGGTTCGCCATCACTGCTATAGGACCACACGCCTATGGGATTATGCAGCTCGCCCGTAAGGGTCCGGGTCCCCTGATGCTACCAGGCAGGCGAACGCCGTGGTCCCTGTACTCCCATGACCTCTGTCCGCCCCACCCCGCTCCCGTTCTGTGCTGGTACAACGTGCTGTATTATAATGACCTGTTCGCATGACCTTCACACGCCCACGCCCTGCGGACTCGGAGTGCCTCCATGAAAAAGGATTCGGTGTTTATTTCTGTATTCCTAATACCTGCTGTGCTTCCTACCCCTGGCTGCCTGGAGAGACGGAATTCCCCGGGTACAAAAAAAGGGCGCAGTTCAGCTTCTGTAATTCTAACTCCTTTTATTAAAAATCTCCGCCGAGAGAAGTCTTCATGCCCTTGCAGTTCATTTCTTTTGTTCCAATATTTGTCAGAAGCAGCGCTTTACAGGGGAAAAAAAAAAGGGTGGGTGGGGAGCGAGCATAACTGAACCAGGAGACAAGAAGTATGAGGTCCAGAGACACCTGTGTCATCTACCAGCCAGGTGACATAGGTCGGCTCAGCAGCAACGGAGAAATCAGACCTTGATCGTTTTTATGGCTGTTTAAGCTGCATGATGCAGTGATAACCTTAGCAATACTTGGCGCCACATTCCTGGGGGGAAAGGGCAAAAAAAAACAACACAAAAAAAACCACAGAAATGTGCCCTAGCCGGTGTGGCTCAATGGACAGAGTGTCAGCCCATGGACTGAAGGGTCCCGGGTTCCAGTCCGGTAAAGGGCATGTACCCCGGTTGCAGGCTCCATTCCAGGCCCTGGTCTGAGTGTGTGCAGAGGCAATCAATGGATGTGTCTCTCTCACATCGATGTTTCTCTCTCTGTCTCTCCCCCTACCTTCCACTCTCTCTAAAAATCAATGGGAAAAATATCCTCTGGTGAGGATTAAAAAACAAACACACACACACACACAGCCCTGGCCGGTTTGGCTCAGTGGATAGAGTGTCGGCCTGCGGACTGAAGGGCCCCGGGTTCGAGTCCGGTCAAGGGCACATGCCTGGGTTGTTGGCTCGATCCCCCGGTGAAGGGGCGTGCAGGAGGCAGCCGATCAATGATTCTCTCTCATCATTGATGTTCCTATCTCTCTCTCCCTCTCCTTTCCTCTCTGAAATGAATAAAAATATATTTAAAAAAATAAAAATTAAAAACAACAACAACAAAACACACACAAAAACAGAAATTTGGATTCTTCCCGTGCGTTTGTGGTCCTTGGGGCGCTGCTCTCAATCCCAGCTCTCTCCCATGCAGAGCACTGCTCATCGCACCTGCGCAGGTGTCTCTGAGGGAGACCCAGACCGGAGAGGAGGACAGATGATACTCGAAGAAGCCGAAAGGGGGATTCTGTAACTGCTTCGTTTTCCACTCTGCGCCCCTTTAAAACCACTTCCGAGTGACAACTCCTGACCCCAGGCAGGTGCGCTGAGGTAGCGCTGTGCACCCCCAGGGGACTCCGTGTAAAATCTTTTTCTCTGAGAGCAGCTATTGTCTTCCCAGGAAAAGCTTTTAGCATAATGGCAGGCGGGACAGAGCACTGCTTTTGTGAGAATATTTTTTTAAGAAACGAAAGAAAAGGAGAAAGGGATTCTTCAACCAACCAACGCAAAGGCGGCCTCAAGCTCCCCCCATCTCGGGCCCCCCGGGAAGAGCAGTGGCTGGGGCCCAGGAGACGGG